CCCCGCGGCCACCGGCCCCCGCGGCGCGGGGCTGGCGGAGTCGGCGCGGGGCCCGGCCCGAAGCCAGCGCCGCCTTCCCGGCCGTGGGGAGTTCAGTCCGGTCCCTCTTAGCTGGGGGACGTGTAACGCACACACGTACACATCCTTATAGATATATATGTGTGTGTGTTTGTGTTCTTTAGCTAAGGCTATGTGTGTATATATACACACACACATATATATATATATATAGGATTGTTCTCAACACTGCCTTCATTTTGAGGTGTAACAACTGTTTACTGAAATCTCAATACATCGCAGGCTATCATGAATCCAGAGCATCACTTAATAAAGGCCTTGGCTGCAAATAGGTGCAAATCAGTGTGGAAATGTTCCAAAGAGAGAAATTGTGYAGAAAATATTACCCTATTCCCCCCCTCCCCCTTTTTTTTTTGCTTAAATACAGACTAATAAAACCTATTGCTTTTTCTTGCATAGACAAGATTTTGGCATCCAAGTTTATTTATTTTGATGTCCTCTAAGCAGAGGAATGTGTTAAAAGGCAGGACGAAATAAAATCCCCCRAAAGGTTGGTAACACAATTGCTATTTTAATGGGCAAGTTTACAAGGATGGATTTAGTTTCAGACATAGTTTTAAGAAGAGTTTTAAAGAGACATCAAAGTGCCTAAAATCTTTGTAACAGAGCTAGTGCCAAAGATCAGAGGGAAGGGAAAAAAAAGAGGTCTGTTTAAGAAGTGCTTCGTAGTTTTCAAAGGTCCAGGATTATGGATGAAACTACTTTACGGTGTTTCTTCTGAAATGTTGACCACGTGTAAAGTTGATAGTCTTGTTTTAAGGTGACATTTAGGAAGTAAACCTTGTAAAATACAATAGTAAAGTAGTAAAATACAAGTAAATACAAAAGTATTTTGTGCTAGATCACAGTCATTTTAAAGCCACTCTTCTAACTGAAATGTGATGCTTTTTCAACTCTTTAATTCTTGCAGAAATCTGTTGGTGCAAATGGTAACACTTGTCAATGGGGGGGAATTTTTGTTCCCAGAAGCTTTTGTGGCGCTCTGTCTTTATGATTACCTTATTTTTCCTTTTGACSTTTTGTTTGTTTCTAAGCTTACCTGTTACTATATCTGGGACTTTGTCAGAACTAATCCTGAGTGTGGCCCAACTTCAGACAGGCAGTTTTCTATTAAAAAAAAAAAAAAAAAAGCCTTTGTGCCTTCCTGTATGAGGGCATTTGGGAGGAGTTCCCAGGAAACATTTTCAAAGCCACCTCAATATCTGCCTTCTTGTGCCTTCTTGAGGCTTGTTTGTTTTTCTTTCCTTTTCTTTCTGTTACATCGTATTTGACAGCAGTCACGTTGCTGCTGCACTGAGTTCACCTTCTGCAGTGCTGACTTCATTGGTCCTAACAGTGCTTTTCAGTAAGATTACAAACCTTGGGAGGTGGGCACCTTTTTTCTTTTTTTTTTTTTTTCTCTTCTTGGCACATTTTTTTTCTGCAATCCAATTTGCACAATTTCAATCAAGTCATTTGAATTTAGCACCGTCTTAAAATGTTGGGATTCTTTTTCCTATTTTTTGAAAAATGAATGGGTTAGATTAGTGCCATTTTTATGTCTGATTATTTTTTAAAACGCTGATGCTAGTATGCTGTGAACAGTACAGGCAAATGTAAGCAAATAAATATCTATGGACATGCAATGTTTTTTCTTAATCTGTGCTTGAAATCAAAATCAGTTACTGGAAAGTGATTTTTGCTTTTTCAATAAATTCATTCGTTCAGAAAAAAAGCCTTTGTCTCTATGATTTTGTTAAGCCTGTTATTTCACAGTACAAAGTGGATGATAACTACATGAGCAGTATTAAGTACAAAATGCAGTATTAATGAACATACAATTTTATTTTATATTGTCTGTATATGTGTTAGAAGAAATTTGTAGATATGCATAAGAAAAAAAAAATGGCCTGTATAGGTGGAATCTCAGATTAGAAATCTATTAAAATATTTATATTTATAGTTTAGAGTTTCAGGGCTATAAAAACTGCTTTATGAAAATCTGTTAAGCCTGAAAGGATGGCAGGTTATGTGCAGGATTTCGCCTTTAGTTTTGAGCTGTAAAGGAAATTAAGTTCGGCTATAGAAGTTTCACATTGGTAAAAGCAAAAAAAAAAAAAAAAAAAAAAAGCCAATATGGAAATAGCCGTGTGGCTTTATTGCTGGAACACACTTTGGAGCTCTTGCAAGGAAGGACTAGTTGGAGCAGTTGGTAACAGTGGGAATTTTGTCCTGGGAACGCTGGAGAAATTTATTAGTAGTGACGTGGCCTCGGAGAACCCATGGTCTGTTTAGCAGGGGCTGCCTCTCACTCTCTGTTCTCCTGTTACCCTCCCTTCTCCTGTCCTTCCTCCCGTGGCKGCAGTGAGGCGAGAGGTCCTTGCCCAGAGCTCAGCCAGGTCCTCTGCTGCAGTCCCTGCCTGGGACAGATGTCSGTGCGTGGGCTTTTTGGGAAGTTGCAAAGAATCCCCAAGGTGTGGATTGGAACATGGGTTTTGCTAAGTGGTGTGTACCAGGATCGGTCATCCCTTTGTTGCTGGATGGGAACGTTTCTTTTGATAAGGATTAAAATCCATGACAAGATTTATATTTTATTTACACAAACAGAATGKTTTTTTTTTCCCTTATTGATGGTGAAAAAAGGTAAAAGTGGGTCTTGAGTGAATGTCAAAATTAATGTTTTTCTCTCTGTTGTGATGTCATCTCTAGGCCTTAAAATATTGATCTGTGTTTTTTTCTATTTTTTTAAGCAGCAGTAATTATTTTTATCTACAGTTATATGCAATATAAAACCGTATGTTCCATGCAGAGCCAGCTGAACCTACTCCCTGTGTAATTAAATTTTTTTGAGAAGGGGAAGTACATTTAGAAGATCTTGTTAAGTATAATCCCTAAAATGAGGATATTAATTTAAAAAGATTCCTAATGCTAGTCACTCTGTGGAGCACATACTGTCTTTTTTTACCCAAGTTATCTATTATTCATGTCAAAGTAGCCCTTGTCCTGAAGGGCTGCTCTTCCTATGGAAGCTCTCGGTTTAGAAATAAAACACAGATTAAAGCATAGGAACATTTTTTTTTGGGTACTTTACCAAATCTTAATCAATTTAATTATACTTTCTGTTTAAGATACAATATAATGAAGTCTTATCCTTTGCCACAGTTACTTTTTTCAACCTTTTTTTTTTTTTTTTTTAAAATTATTACCCACTTGAAAGCTTTCTAACCATCTCTTATATTAATTAGGGGAAAATCAGTAAAGACTAAAACTTTTGGCAGTGCTTTGTCTTAACTGTCCCTATTTTCATTTCCTTACAGTGGTGGGAAGGACAGCTGCTATAATATGATGCAGTGTGTTGCTGCTGGGCACCAGATTGTTGCTCTAGCCAATTTAAGACCTGCTGAAAGCACAGGTATGGAAGCCTCATGTCTCACAGAATATGTGTATATATATATATATATATATATGCACACATTTTCTATGTATATATATTTTTTGAAATAAATAATAGAGACACAGCCGTATTTGTATTTAGTTTTGCATATTGAAGGGCAATCTGTAAATTGCACCTTTTAAGAGGTGTAAGAAAGAAAATGATTTCTATGTAAATAGATACAATAAATGTATTTTTTCTCAAAAGGAAAAAAGGTACAAAAGGATGAAGAACAGTAAAAGAAAGACTTGCACAATTTGAAGACGTGAATATTTCTGGTATTATAAGCAGGGAATGTATGAATTCAGTGTAGTGAATAATAAAATATTATATGGGTTATCATATAACAAAACAAATGCTTTTTCTAGAAACACTTAAACTGGGAATAACTATTCTGGCTGTCAAAAATAAGCAAATCTGCTGCTGCCTGCCTGTTCTCCCCATGCATCCTCCTCCATTATTCTAGTCCAGCCCTTCCAAACTGGATTGAGGAGCTGATCTGGATTAGAGCTGGCCTTGGTACACTGCTTTTCTGAGTCCTGCTGAGTTTGAGCATGGAATGATTTTCCGGTCGGTTCCTCACAAGTTTCACCTTGGCTTATTTCTGCAGAAGTTAATGGGTGATTCTCAAGCATGTCCAAGTCATTGCTGGGGAGACACAGGGATTACTACTTCTGTGCTGGGAATGAACTGAGGTTTGAAAAGAGAGTGAGTTGTTTCCTAGTTGTTAGGGGCAGGTTCCCAGTGCTGATATGTGTTAACTGCTTAATGTATGTTATCTTTGGGATACCTGGTAATGTACAGTAGGAAGATGTGCAGAAGTAGTGAGGGGAAAGGTGAGCTGGTATCACAGATAAATCATGGAGAGGACTAGCAGCTAGGGAGTGGGCAAGAGCATTTTATTCCCTGTTAGATAGGCCAAAGTGATCTCTAATCTTGTTGAAATATGTTTGCCTTTAATTTATCCATGTCAGAAATGTAGAATATTGTCATTAAAATCATAAAATGATTCCTTTAAGTGTATAGTTGGAAATTTTGTGGAAAGTTAATTGAGGTGCTTCAGGCAATAGTGGATTCTATGCCATTCATTTTATTTTATCATGTACTACTGTTGCTTGGATAGTCTCAATTAAGAAAGAGACTGTGTATTCTGAAATGATTCTGAATATCAGTTTAAAGGAACGTTGTTGTGTTTTATATACATTGAAAAATACTGAGATTTATTTTAAATCAGCTCTTCATGTTCAGTTTGGTTAGTTGTGAATGTGGGTCCRTTTTGAGCAAATATGTAGTTCTGTTCTACTGTATTGCATCAATTATGACGTGATACAATGATTACATCACACATTGATTATCTTAATCGAGTTGCAGACCTTTCTATTTCCAAAATGTGCTGTATGGACATACAGCAGAGATGCTTTATGTGTCTGGGTCTAAATTAAGAGTTCGATGTTGCAAATCAGTGTTAAGACAGTGAATTGTGTTAGTTTTTAACAGATTAGGTGGAAATTTCAGCCGTAATGTGTTGCTTTATTGATCTGCTATAAAATCATTCAGATAGAATTTTTTTAATGTTAACTGTGTATCAGAGAATCTGATATTGTCACTTGACTAAAGAAACAGCATCAGGCAGTTGGTTACATTCTGAGATGGTTTTTTAAAGTGAGTGGAGTGGAATAGGACTGAATATTTTAACAGATCTTTTCTTTTTGTAGCAATCAAAGTGTTGTAGCAATCTACTTTTATTCTACTTAACTACAATAATYTGCTCCTCACTCTTGATGACCATGATAAGTGTTTTAACAGTAACATTTTTGGAAATTTTGGCAACCTATTGCTTTTTCTCAGTGTTGCAGTGTGTTCCAAGTTTCTCTTACTGAATATGTTGAAATGTAGTTGGGTTTGTGCCTCTCTCTGAATTATTGTATAAATAGGACTGGGATTGGTCCTTTAAAAGATTTTTGGATGAGACAGGGAGGAACAGTAAAGAAGAAGTAGATGCAACAATTTCCAGGTAGGAAGCAGGCTCATGACATGCRTCTTCTTGTCCATAAGTCTGCGGGGGTAAAATATCTACTTTTTATTTTTTATGTTTATTTATTTTAATTTTCATGTTCATAAGGATTATGTCATTGTCAACTGTGAATGAAAAACTACTAATTTTTTTTTCTTAGTACTCTRGACTGTTATGATTTTCTGTAGCTACTAAAATAATGTACTTACTATCATGCTTATTTCATAATTTTGGCAGGGCAGACGGATGAGTTGGACAGTTACATGTATCAGACAGTAGGACACCAAGCCATTGACCTGTATGCAGATGCGATGGATTTGCCACTCTACCGTTGCTTCATAAAAGGCACCAGTGTGAATACCGGACGAGTGTACGTCACGTGTGAGGAGGATGAGGTCGAAGACCTTTACCGCCTTTTGAAACTTGTTAAGGTATGTTGAATAAAAGAATGAAATACTTGGGAACAATTGTGCTSCCTTGATACATTACGCTGACCTATAAATTTAGGTAAATATTCCACTTGTGTATTTATGGAATGCTGTGGGAAAGTTTTTGGACGTTCCTACTCTTATAAGTCTAGTTTCTATTCCTTTATTCTTTCTTTGAATGTGAATAGGCAGCATAACTGAATTTATTTCCTTTTTCCACATTTTAAATTAGACTAATCATTGATTAATCTTTATTTCAAACCAAAACCTTGTTCTTATTCAATAAATACACCTTCAATAGGTTCTTGGCAGATAATGCAAAAAACGTAATTGTGAAAATTATCTATAACCAAAATGCAATTCAGTTTCATGTTTGAAATAATATATTGCTTGATTATTTTGAATATAAGATCATACATTTATCAATACATTGAAAGTAATGTCTATACATGCATAATAGTGTGCACTTATTTTCTGTAAGCCTTTTTTTCAGTTATTGGTATGTATCTTGCTGACCATTTACAAAATATTATGGAATATTTTACAGTTATGATTTTGGTTTTGGTGGTCTTCTACCTAAGTTCTACTGTATTGTGTAACAGCACTAACRTAAACCAATCCTTCTAGCTGTAAAAGCATTTTGAGAGGTAATGAGCGCATTTCCCAAAACACTGGWGATTTGCTCCTTACTGTTTTCCAAAAACTTCATGAGACACTTGATTTCCATGGAATCTGAATTACTTCTCAGGAGAAATGAATAGAAATATTCTATCTGACTGCCGAGATTTTAGATGAAGTTTGAGTAAAAATGTTATATCTTTGCAATTGTCCTGYGTCTTCTGGCTATTTGTGTTGATGATTATGCTGCACAGTACTAAAATCAGAAGATCATATTAATTGCTACAGGTATTAAAAAATAAATACATGTTTAATTTAATATATAAAGTTGGTAGACTACTCTCTGAAACTTCAGCTAAAGGTATTTCTGATCTTCAGTTTTGATATTGAGCAATTTCCTGCCGTTCCATTTTTGCCCCCAGAAATCAGAAATGAGATTCATAAACTTGAAAGCTTCAGGCTTGTTCTTTGTTCAGCAGTAAGAAATAATTTTGCAGACAGGACGAGGAATATGGTTTTTAGTGCAGRATGTTTCCTGAACTATGCTGAAGTCAGGCGTTGTATTTTCTAAATATTTTTGACAGGGAAATCATGCTCATCTGCAGTAAAATTGAGAAACACCACTGTGTTGGAATATGACACTGCTAGAACGAACCCCAGTGCATGTAGGCTCTATTACTGATCTCAAGTGTTTCGCGAAGTTTTAAAATGGAATATACATGTTGTATAGGACACGGTGAAGGAAGTACGGTGCAACGCTCTTAAATGATTTTTTGAACCACGATAATACTAGAAATTGTAAGGACTAATATATGTCCTCTGTTAAAGCTGCATGATAACAGCTTTCTGAGGCTGAGTAAGATAATAAATTACTGATCAATTTAATTAAAAATGGGCAGATTAGTCGCGATTAAGATGAAATTTCCCTTTCGATCCTCACTGTCTTTGGAGAAATGGATGCTTTGACATAAATTAATGCTAATGTTGAATCTTGACAACTTCTGCTTCGAAAGTTCATACATGATAATTATAACTGTGGTTGAAAGAGATGTTATCGAGTTGTCTGGGGCTGAATAACTACTTTTTTTCTTGCATAAAAATATTAATTCCACTATAGGATATTTTAAAGAGATAAATAACATCGGTATGTTAGACACTGTAAAACCTTGTGTATGTTAGACACTGTGTAACCTTGACCTTTACAGTCAAACCTATTTATGAAACTTTGGTGGAAAAGTTTCAGTAGATGTCTTGCATATTCTGGTGAATAACTGAGTAATTATATGAGGGGAAAGTAATCTGCAGGATCTGTAGCTCTTCATGTTGATCGCTTCAGTTTTAAGGAAGGAATGAAGCATTTTGTTTCCTCTTGTGTAAACATTAACTTTGAAAGCTTTATGATTTTTCACATTTATCTCTAACTGCATTTTTATAGCTTTGCCATATTAGTCATAATCTCTGGTCATTTTTCTTTAGGGATTCTTATTTTTTTCAGATGATGCTAATAGGTTTAAACAGAACTCAGTGCTGTCCGTTGAAGCAGGGGGAGAAACCTGCAAAAGGCTTGTAAAAATTCATCCTTGAGTTGGCGTGATTTCAAAACAATGGTCAAAATATCATTTTTCTGTATAATATTTTGAGCCTACAAATACAGAAAAGGTACTTCTAGTGCTTCTTATTTTCAGTTTTTAAAGACTGTTTATATTTCATTTTGTAAAGAATATTTATATTACAAGTAGTTATTTAATAATAAATTAAAGCAAATCACATTTGAAAAACTAGGACGAGTTCAAAAAGTATTTGACACTTTTAAGAGCAATTTTGTGAAAGCAAAGATTTTTTAAAGTTAAATATTTCATGATCGTGAGCAAGCCAGGACAACAGTCTTGTCCTGGTTCGCAGGACTCAATGCGATATGGACTGCAGATGGATGTGAAACTGGTCATTCTGTCTTCACAAACCTCGATGAGTGACATGCTGCAGTAAAGTACATTTAGTTGCCTGATATCCTGTTCTAGATTGCGWGTGTTGAATAGGTGTTGGAAAAACAATCAGAATACTTAATATGTTGTTGAAATGTAACCATACAGTTCTTAGGTGCTAACAGCATTTCTACTTAATGCAGGGCATTTAAATCCTGAAATCTAAGAATTTGATCTGCTACCGGTATTACTTAAATAAGGATTACTCAGATTCTGGGTCTGTCCGTGTTTGCCTGTTGGCAGGACTGGGGCCTCATCCAGCAACACAAAGCATTAGTCTTCCTGAGTTACCTATCAGAAGTCAGAAAAAAAACATCTGTAGGAGAACTGTGGTTCTTAACATGTAGTGAATGGAAGGAATGGACCAAGGAGGGGCTTTTGAGAAACTTTCCTGCCACTTGCTTGTCTCTAGGTGTGTTTTACCTGCTTTCTCCTTTTCTTAGGTAWTTATGATCATGTCCAAATACATATATATGGGCATTTATTGCAAGCACATACTGAAGTGGTGCTAGAGAAGTTGAATGTCGGGTTGTTTTCAGCATCCTCTGGAACTACAGCATACCTTTTGGTTAGGGCAGTGGATATAGTAGCTTCCAGATGGCACAGATCCCTGCAGGATGTTTTCCTGCGGGGCTGGGTGTCCTTCGGCAGTTCTGTCCTCTTCCGAGTTTCTTGCTTTGTCTCCTCTGCCTTGGGAGGACTTGGCTTTCATTTGGGAAGATCCCACTACTGGGACACCTTGTAGAATTCTGGATCTTTATCTTGAAAGAAGAYTTTTTTTTCCTTTGAGCTAGTTCATGTTTTTCTGTAATAAATTTTTTTCAGTACTTGATTTTGAGAACAAGTATGTCAGAAAAAGTGTATTAGTTCTTTTTCAAATCTAATAAATTTACTTATGCTTATTCTATCTATAAAGCATGASAGAGCATTTCTAGTGCATTTTCAGCATGAACCTGTTAGTCTCTGTTAGTCTTCTCTTTGAGAAACACCTTCTGGAGTCACAACCTGCAAACCTAAAGAAACAGAACAGCAGTACCTGAAAGAAAATCACACACTGGATTTCAGAACTGAAGGATTAATTGTGATGTCGTTGATCATCAGCTGAAGAAATAGTTATTGCTGYTGGGTGTATTGGATATATGAAATATTTTAATAATAATAGCCTTTGCATGTAGCACTATTTCATTTTATCAGTATCCTGGGAGGGAAAGGAACTGTAATTCTTTTCAAAAAATAATGTCCTGGAGCGTCCTGGAGAAGTGATCTTATAACTCAAAGAATCAGTCACTGGGAATAGGTAACATGCCTTTTAGTTACAGCAGCAAAGAGCTTATCAGTACGGTGTGACTCTTTCCATTAATAATTATTTTTGAAGGACAGGATCATGATTTTGGAATAAAACCATAATGATGTTTACTGAAACAGGARATACTTCTGTCCATATTAAAGTCAACATTTTGTTAACTGTGTAATTTTTGATATTATTTCACATGGTATATAGATGGAAGTGTATCAGTCCATGCAGGATCATGTGAGAAATAGGGGAACTCTAGGTCCCTTAATTATTCCATAAATCCCATTAAAATTTCGAGTTTTTCAGGAATCAATGTCAAGACTTGAGGGGAATGAATGAAATACAGGGTTACTCTACAGTCTTTGTGTAGGGGCATTTCTCCCACAAAAGATAAAGCCTTCAGTCCCATATTATTCCTAATAATATTTCTTCATGTGACGGAGGCAGCCCTTCTTTTTCCTTCTTAAATATTTGGCTGTTGTAGATAATAGGTAAAAATAAGTTCTCAAATTCAGTCTTTTCTGTGTTTGTCTGTCTATGACGCTAAAATATTGGTAATCCTCACATTAAAGTTGGCCTTTGAAGTAATGTTTCTGATTTGTTGCTTTTAAGCTCTCTGAAATTTAGCTTTCATTCAGAGTATAATTGACTTATTTCATATTAATCGTGAGGTTGCTCCAACATTTTTGTAGATTTCTCTTGCTGCATTGAAGATATTGGCTTCCTGTCCATTCTATATGCAGTAACGTACTTGTACTTGTACAAGAAAAACATGTTAATTGTGTACCTTTTCTTAGAACACAGATGTTAGGATTGTATTAAATAACTTCGTTATAGGTCTAAACTGTTACTTAGCCTGTGCTTTTCACTGAGTCACATTTTCATCTAGTCAAATATTTAAAAAAATATTTTAGAGTTTAATTTAATCTCTGAATCATATAGGAATGGCCTCATTTAAAAGCATCAGTTCTACTTGTGGATTTCATTGTGACTTAGACATTCAAAATAAAGTAATATCTGACCATTATAACTTTCAGAACAAACACACTGCTGCAATTAATGTGGATTTGAGCACTAAGAGGGACATAAACTGTATTGTCTTTACTTGG